TATATGTTCATGTTTTATTTTAATTGCTTGTATTGTTGTATTTGGGCTCGGCCTCATGTAAGCCGCACCGAGTCCCTTGGGGAGATGGTAGCGGGGTACAAATAAAGTGTTGTTGTTGTTGTCGTTGTTATTATTATTATTATTATTATTATTATTATTATTATTAACAGGAGAAAAATTACAGTTCTGAAATAGCAATGAAAATAATGTTATGGTTGAGGGTCACCACAACATAAGGAACTGTATTAAAGGGTCACGGCATTTGGAAAGTTGAGAACCACTGATATAGATGGTCACTCGTTAGCTTGATAGGTGTGTTGTGTCCAAATTTGGTATCAATTCGCCCAGTGGTTTTCGGTTTATGTTAATCCCACAAACGAACGTTACATTTTTATGTATATAGATCAGAGGGCATCGTGTGTATTATTTGCCTTAGGCATCGAAACGCCTTGCTGTGAAGCAAGAAGAATGGTGGAACTGAGTTCTGTGTGTGTAGATTTGCCTCTCCTCCTTCTCCTAAACTACCGAATCCTGGTTTCTGCATCTGGTTAGATACCCATCATGGAAATGGCCGTCTACTGTGCTGTCAGCATCGATATTATACTTGCGCACAGTGCAGCGGAGGTGGGACCACGGCTGTTGTGGCACTTAGTCTAAAATCTCCAGGGTGATTGTGGGCTATTATTGTCGTCTTGTATTTGGAAATGGCTTCGTTTCATTCCGAAAGCAGCAACCCAGAAGAGCAGCGTGGGGCGCCGTGCCTGGAAGGAGTGCGTCAGGAACAGAAAAGGCAGGGGAGTGTGGTCTTCTGTCATCACACCAGCACAAGAGATTGCTCTCATCGCTCTTTTGTTCTCGGATCAGAGCATCAGTGGAGTGTGTGCGTTTGGCTTTCTGTGCACAAAATAGCCAATCCAGGCTTTGGAATGAAATTCTTAACAAAAGCTTCAGTTAGGAGCCAGGAAAGAAGGGGGGGTTGATGCTGATTTGCAGCAGTTGGGAAAATGGGGTGTGTGCCATAATGGCTGCTCTCCTTTCGCTGGTTCAGAGCGAAAATGACAGCAGGTCTCTTTGTCGTCAGGTGATTCAGCTGGTGAGATAACAAGCCATTGGTGCCCAGATAAGACAGGGCCCGGCGGGTTTTGTTTAGAGCATGTGCTGTGCGTTCTTTGCCGTCTTACCCCCTCCCCATTGCAATTGTCTCAACAAAGGACAGACTGCGCATGCACACAAACACACACGCACATCTCAGGCCCAACCAGTAAGTCTCCCTCATGCATTTGAACAGTCGCAGCAGGGAGAGAGAGAGAAACCGCCATTGTGTCTCCCTCGGCTTTGCTCACATTCATCACATTGGAGCTTTGTTTCCAAAAGGTACCAAAGTCATCTGAACAAATTTTACATGAATCAGGGAGAAAAACATGCTGAGGTTGAAATGTCATTTTCCAGACCTTGAAGGAAAGTGATTTGGGTATCTTTTGATCATTTAGATTCTTGCATAATATTTTACTCCAGTATTACCAGTATATAAAAAAATCTCTAAAATCATAGCAGTAAATAAAAAACAACACTCAAAACCAGGGGAATTCCAGACAAGAAACAATCAACTCCCAACAAAGGATACCTCCAGGCAGTAAGAAGTCAGAATAAGAAGTTGTTGCTATTATTATTATTTGAAACACAACAAAATGAGTCCACAGCCAACAAAATCACTCTGCTGGCTGTTGTATTGGATCACACGTCTGACACTTCCCAAGTGTCTAGGATTGTGTGATGTATCGGCGAATAATGCATGCAGATCCAAGTAGGGTGGCCTTTTGCAGCTGGCAGATGGTAATTTTGTCAGTGCCGATTGTTTTTAAATGCAGGCCAAGGTCTTTAGGCACTGCACCCAGTGTGCTGATCACCACTGGGACCACCTTTACTGGTTTGTGCCAGAGTCTTTGCAGTTCAATCTTTAAATCCTCATATCATGTCAACTTTTCCAGTTGTTTCTCTTCAATCCTGCTGTCACCTGGGATTGCAACATTGACAATCCATACTTTGATTTTTAACACGATAGTGAGGTCAGGAGTATTGTGCTGAACTGTCTGAATTCGGAAGTCCCAGAATAGCTTGACGTGTTCATTTTCTGTAACTTTTTCTGGCTTGTGATCCCACCAGTTGTTTGTCGCAGGCAGATGGTATTTGTGGCACAAATTCCAATGAATCATCTGAGCAACGGTGTTATGCCTCTGCTTGTAGTCTGTCTGCGCGATCTTCTTGCAGCAGCTGAGGATGTGATCTATTGTTTCCTCTACTTCCTTGCAGAGTCTACACTTGGGATCTGTCATTGACTTTTCAATTCTAGCTTTGATGACTGGTTCGAATGGCTTGTTCTTGGGCTGCCAGAATCAGTCCCTCCGTCTCCTTTTTCAAAGTTCCATTTGTGAGCCACAGCCATGTTTTTTCCTAGTCAATTTGGCTCTCAATTATTCCCAGGGACTGTCCATGGAGAGCCTTCTTTTGCCAGTTTTCTCTTCTGTTCTGGATTGTGCTTTTACGTTATTCACTCTTTGTCTTTTGCACTTGACGCAGTTTACTACTATTGACTTCCCTCAATGTTGGTTCTTGACTGCCATTATTATTATTATTATTATTATTATTATTATTATTATCGTTGTTGTTGTTGTTGTTGTTGTTGTTGTTGTTATGTGTAGCAGTGTAGATCCAGCCTAATTCTGTCGAAAAGGGACTTCACTCCCTGAGTGCATAAGAGGGGTGTCCTTTCCCTTGAGTTGCTTGAAAGAAAGAGGCCAACAAAAGTAGGACATTTGTCCTCCGGAGAAGAGTTCTCCCCCTTCCCTGAAATTTTCAGTGTGTCCCTATTTTGAACAGCATGAGACTCTGAAAACGGTTCATATCGAGGACTCGTCTATTACTGGGTTCATATTTCCTCAGTCCTTCGCCTCTCTCCTTAACTTTGGATGTCTTGGCTCTGTTTGCAAATGCTCCATCATTACTATAGTGCTACTAAGGACTGAAAAAATATCGTTTGGGAAGACTGAATTCTTTGGGGATCAATGTTTTCTACAACATGCACACAAACATCCATAGTCTCAGCACAAGTCTCAGCTTATGCACACAAATTCTCTTGCTGTGATTTGGAAATCTGCATAGTCAAGATCTTATAAAAGCAGACTTTACTTCTAATCCAGGCATGGGTAAACTTGGGCCCTCCAGGTGTTTTGGACTTCAACTCCCACCATTCCTAACAGCCTGAGGCTGTTAGGAATGGTGGGAGTTGAAGTCCAAAACACCTGGAGGGCCCAAGTTTGCCTATGCCTAGTCTAAACATAAGGACGCACTCCAGAGTCCTTCTCCCACTTTCTATTCAGTTGTGAGTCATGTGAAAGGTGCGTGAGAACTAAACGGGGATGTTTTCAGAACATCAGCAATGGGATTGGGACAGTTCCTCCACCTTTGCTACATTTTGATTTTGTAATGCATCTAATGTGAATGTATCTGCATGTTGCAAAAGCATCGGTTGTAAACCACTCACTGCTTATTGTTAGACTTATAAATGTGGTAAATAAATAACAAACAGATGCAACCTTGAATGTGTGTGCGTGCCTCCAAGTCATATGTCATAGGGCTTTCTTCGGCAAGGAGCACTCAGAGGTGGTTTAATCCAGGGGTCCTCAAAACCTTTTAAGCAGAGGGCCAGAGGGTTGCAGGAATGCATGGAGCACAATAACTAGGGTAGGGGTCCTCAAACTTTTTAAACAGAGGGCCAGGTCACAGTCCCTCAAACTGTTGGAGGGCCGGATTATAATTTTTTTTAAAAAAGAATGAATTCCTATGCACACTGCACATATCTTATTTGTAGTGCAAAAACACTTAAAAACAATACAATAATTAAAATGAAGAACAATTTTAACAAATATAAACTTATTAAGTATTTCAATGGGAAGTGTGGGCCTGCTTTTGGCTGATGAGATAGGATTGTTGTTGTTGTTGTTGTTGTTGTTGTTGTGTGTTTTCAAGTCGTTTCAGACTTAGGTTGACCCTGAGCAAGGGCCGGGTAAATGACCTTGGAGGGCTGTATCCGCCCCCCGGGCCGTAGTTTGGGGACCCCTGGTTTAATCCGTTCTGTCTTCCTAATTGGGGCTACGGTGAACCCCAATTAGGAATCAGTTAAGCTGCTGAACTTGCTGACCAAAAGGTTGGCGGTTCAAATCCATGGGATGGGGTGAGTTCTCTGTGTTATTTATCTATTTTTATATTCCGCCCTTCTTACTCCGAAGGGGGCTCAGAGCATATCACAGCTAAGAGGCTGTAAGGATTTTCCTATACAAAAGTCTTTAGAAGCTTGAAAAATTTAACAAGGTCCTTTATCATTGCTTAGGTCTTCAACAAAACAAACAAATACTTCTCAGATCTTCAACAAATCAAACCAATGCTTCTTATCTTGTCTACGAAGGACAGGCACCTTGCTTGGAGAACTATTTATTTCTTTAACAAGGAAAACCCTTTTTAACCCCTCCTTGGGCAATCTACTTTCTAAACTTTGCTGGTGTGGGCTCTACTCCCGGCTCCAAACTGCTTCTTGGGTCCCGAGTAGACCTACCAGTCAAGGCTTTGTAGATTCTCCAGCTGGAGTCCTTTGGAACTGTTTCCCCCGGAATTTAGTAAGAAACTAAGCTTCTCTACAGGTGGAGCAGATTCACGTCCTGTAGCTAAGCTTTTAACTGAGCTAAAATTTCGGAATTATTAAAAAAAACAAAACGCAAGGGCCCCCTAAAAACAAAACGAGTTTAGAACCAAATTTTTCCGTGGTTACCCAAGCCTAATATATACTACAGTAATATACGACAGTTATATAGATGTCTATGTACAAGAGAGTTGACCAACTGTATTGTCTACTACATTGTGCCCTTTGAATGTTGTAGCTACTCCCATTCTAGTGTCAAACCTGCCCAACCTTTGGTGATGAGCCAACATCTATTTCTGTCCAACAGATCGATGAACTCCCCGAGGGAGCCGTGAAGCCTCCAGCCAATAAGTACCCTATCTTCTTTTTTGGGACTCATGAAACGTAAGTGAGCTTGATGCTGAATTCCTTGAAAACAGTTTCAGACTCGAGTTGATACATCAGGTGTTTATGTTCACAAAGACCCTCCTCTGTTGGAGTCTAGAAATGTTTCCACCCAAAGAATACATTGCTCTGCATTTATAACAGAGAGGAAACAATCAGGGACATCTAATCACCTCTCAACAAAAGATTCCCCCCAGGCACTAACAAGCCACACCAAAAAACTGACAGGCCATCAAATGCTAATCAAGGTGGTCAGCTGAAACATTCACACCTAGCTCCAACAGACAAGAGTTCTTTGTCCCACCCTGGTCATTCCGCAGATATATAAACCCAATTTTCCTAGTTCCAACAGACCTCACAACGTCTGAGGATGCTTGCCATAGATGCAGGTGAAACGTCAGGAGAAGATGCCACTAGAACATGGCCATATAGCCCGAATAAACCTACAACAACCCAGTTATTCTGGCCATGAAAGCCTTTGACAATACTCTTACACTGTTAGACACATTTTGTTGTTAACATTTATATCGTTTTCGTAAAGTGTGTTTTTCCTAAAGCATGTGTTTGTGTGCGTTTTGCCAAGATCGTGTTTATTTGTGTGGCATTCACAAAAAAGGATGAATCATAGAATAACAGAATATAGGGTTGGAAGAGACCTCCTGGGCCATCCAGTCCAACCCCATTCTGCCAAGAAGCAGGAAAATTGCATTCAAATCACCCCTGACAGATGGCCATCCAGCCTCTGTTTAATAGCTTCCAAAGAAGGAACCTCCACCACACTTCAAGGCAGAGAGTTCCACTGCTGAACGGCTCTCACAGTCAGGAAGTTCAAAAGTTGAAAAGAAAGTTTTGGAAAGTTATGTTTTTGGGGAAAGTTTTGGAAAGTTACTTTTTTTTACAAAAAACTCCCAGAATTCCCCATTCCAACCTGGCCAAGAAGCACACTATTCTCCCTTTTCAATGGGATCCTGAATGGTCCTCTGATGAGCCACAAAGTGCAACTAAGCACCTGTAAATCTGTGATTTCACCACAGGAGGGCAGATTCACCCTAATATTTCACAAAATTACTGTCAATCACCCAAACTATAGAGGTAAAAATAGGATAGAGTAGCACAGGAACCGGAATATTTTCTGTGAAGCTTACCTGGAATCCAGAATAACAATCTCCAGAGCAATGAATGTTGCATTTTTTCATAACCCAGTCATAGGCAAACTTTGGCCCTCCAGGTGTTTTGGACTTTAACTCCCACAATTCCTAACAGCCGGTAGACTGTTAGGAATTGTGGGAGTTGAAGTCCAAAACACCTGGAGGGCCAAAGTTTGCCCATTGTGTTATAACCCATAAGGAACATAAGTGGAGCCTAACTAGAACTGCCAATTGACTTTTTGCATCTGTTCCAACGCAGTGCATTTTTGGGGCCGAAGGACCTCTTCCCCTACAAAGAATACAAGGACAAGTTTGGGAAGTCAAACAAACGAAAAGGATTTAACGAAGGCCTTTGGGAAATAGAAAACAACCCTGGTGTTAAGTTTACTGGATATCAGGTAAGAATGGCTTCTTCTTTTCTTTTTCTTTTCTTACATAATGTGCGTTTTTTCTGCCTTGATATTCTGGGATATAGGGCTGTGTGGAAGGGCCCTGAGTCAGCTGTTCTCCAAACCGTTCTCCAAAAATGTTCAATGAGGATGATACCCATCCGGTTAAGAATTAAGGGAGTGCTTAGCACTTCATTTCACTGGGATGCTGTGAGTTTTCGGGCTGTGTGGCCATGTTCCAGTAGCATTCGCTCCTATCGTTTCACCTGCATCTGTGGCCGACAACTTCAGAGGTTCATTAGCAGTGAAGCAAGTGGAGTGTTTTTTAATACTGGTAACCAGCAGCCCAGACTCCTACATAGCTATATAAAATCCAGATAACAACAACAACAATAACACTTTATTTGTATTCTTTATTTGTATTATTTGTATTCTGTCCCCCAAGGGGACTCAGAGCAAATTCCAGTATATATACAAACACAGGCAAACACTCAATGCCTTTGAAACACAATGAAATACAAATACACAGGCAAAGGCAAAGGCTTCCCCTTTCATCTCTGGCTCTGGAGGCAGAGTGTGGATTCAGATAATCCAGTTCAAAGCAGATAATGTGGATTATATGCCTTGGTATTCTGCATTATATAGCATTGTACAAGGGCCCCCAGTAATTCCGGCCATGAAAGCCTTCAACAACACACTCTGAAATATAGTGTTCTGTTGCGCGTTGGGCCTGTAAAGAATTTCCTTTAGAACAGGACGTGCAACCTTTGCCCAGCAGGAAGCCCAAAGAGAAGTTCTCAGAGGTTTTCCACCACAAATGATCTTTAGATGGCTTGTGAAGTATAACAAAGTCCTTTATTAATGAACGATCAAACAGAAACTTCTCTTGTCTTCAGTAAAGATAACCAAATGATTCCATGCAACTGGTGTCTTCCTAATCTTGCCCACGAAGGACAGGCAACTGTCTTCAATAACTTCTTCTTTACTTTAAAGGAAAATCCCCTTTTTAACTTCTCCCAGGCTGACTGTAATCTAACCCTTACTGATGTGGGCTCCGCTTCCGGGTCAAACTGTGTCTCGAAGCACCGAGTGGACCTACCAGTAAAGGCTTAGATGTTCTCCAGCTGGAGTTCTTTGGTCTTTAGGGCTATTTTCCTGGATATCTTTGGAGACTCTTAAGACTGTTCTCCCCCGGAAAGTCTTGGATGCTCTTAAGACTGTTTCCCCCCAGAAAGTCTTGGGGTTGAAGCTTTTGTACAGGGGAAGCTTGCACACGTCCTGTACATTAGCTTTCCTTGCTGAGACTGACTAAAAAATGGCTCCCTTCCCTTCCCAATTGCCCTGAGCAAGGGGCGGAACCAAAACTTAACGATGATGGACAGGTGACTTGCCCTATGACTGCAACCAAAGGAAGCCACCTATCTGCAGAGTCCCTGAAACCTAGGACTGCAAACAAACATTTAATACAAAGCAAATAAAGTTGGAGCTCCTGGTACAGCCGTACCAGCACATATAGGATTTGTCAGAACCTGCGGAAGTAAGTTATAATGGTTTGTTTTATTCCAAAGGCAATTCAGCAGCAGAGTTCATCAGAAACTGAAGGCGAAGGAGGCAATACAGCAGACGCCAGCAGCGAGGAGGAAGGCGAACGAGTAGAAGAGGATGGAAAAGGCAAAAGGAAGAATGAAAAGGGAGGCTCAAAACGGAAAAAATCCTATACTTCAAAGGTACTTCATGGCTTTTTAAGCAAGCCTTCGAACAGGGTTAACATTAGTTAAACCTGAGGACGAAGCGCTTTGTTTGATTCAGGCACTTAACATGACTGAAATGGATACGACCTTTTTACCCGCAGCTATTCCTGCATTTTATTGAGTATTTTAATTAGGGTTTTTATATGCTGTTTTTAAGTATATCTGTTTTATGTTATTAACATTGTTTTGTTTACAACTGTTACGTGTTTTACTGTATTTGTATATTTTATTGCACTACCATGTGCTTTTGTAAGCCGCCCCGAGTCCCTTTTGGGAGATGGTGGTGGGAATTAAATAAGATTATTATTATTTTACTCACAGAAAAACACAGTATGTCAAAGCAAATGAGATCTCTATGCTGGATTTCGTATCACAAAATCACTAGTCAAACACTTCCCAAGCGTATTATTATTATTATTATTATTATTATTATTATTATTATTATTTTACTGACACAAAGCCACAGTATGTCACAACAAGCAAGATCTCTATGCTGGATTTCGTATCACAAAATCACAAGTTGAACACTTCCCAAGCGTATTATTTTTTTTTTTACTGACACAAAACCACATTATGTCACAGCAAATGAGATCTCTATGCTGGATTTTGGATCACAAAATCACAAGTCGAACACTTCCCAAGCGTATTATTATTATTATTATTATTATTATTATTATTATTATTATTATTTTACTGACACAAAAGCACGGTATGTCACAACAAATGAGATCTCTGCTGGATTTCGTATCACAAAATCACAAGTCGAACACTTCCCAAGCGTATTATTATTATTATTATTATTATTATTATTATTATTATTTCACTGACACAAAACCACAGTATGTCACAGCAAATGAGATCAATATGCTTGATTTTGTATTATTATTATTATTATTATTATTATTATTATTAGAAACACAACAAGATGAGTCCACAGCAAACAAGATCACTCTTGCTGGCTATTGTATTGAATCACACGTCGGACACTTCCCAAGTGTCTAGGACTGTGATGTCTCAGTGAATAATGAGTGCAGAACCCAGTAAGGTGGCCTTTTGCAGCTGACAGATGGTAATTTTGTCAGTGATGATTGTGTTTAAGTGCAGGCCAAGGTCTTTAGAAACTGCACCCAGTGTGCCAATCACCACTGGGACCACCTTTACTGGTTTGTGCCAGATTCTTTGCAATTTGATCTTTAAATCGAAAAATGCGTGGAGATGTTTTGATTTGGGGTGGAGAAAGTTGCAGTTTGTAAACAATTCACACTGGACTCACAATGCAAGGAAATTAGACTGAGGCCCTTTCCACTCAGCTGAATAAAAACCCACATTATCTGCTTTGAACTGGGATATATAGAAGTGTGGACTCAGATATCTCACTTCAAAGCAGATATTGTGGGATTTTCTACCTCAATATTCTAGTATATAGGGCTGTGTGGGAGCCTCTGATGGCGCAGTGGGTTAAACCACTGAGCTGTTGAGCTTGTTGACCGAAAGGTCGCAGGTTTGAATCCAGGGAGCGGCATGAGCTTCTGCTGTCAGCCCCAGCTTCTGCCAACCGAGCAGTTTGAAAACATGCAAATGTGAGTAGATCAATAGGTACCACTCCGGCGGGAAGGTAACGGCGCTCCATGCAATCATGCCGGCCACATGACCTTGGAGGTGTCTATGGACAATGCTGGCTCTTTGGCTTAAAAATAGAGATGAGCATCACCCCCCAGAGTTGGACACAACTGGACCTAATATCAGGGGGAAACCTTTACTAAAGGCCCTAAGGCTGGGATGCGTATGATGCTCAAGATTTTATTCTCCTTCTTCAACTATTTGTTCAGCGGTTAGAAATTGTATTTTAACATCATAGGAAAGGTTCTCTCAGAGGCCCCTTCCACACAGCTGAATAAAATCCCACATTGTCTGCTTTGAACTGGAATATATGGCAGTGTGGACTCAGATAGCCCAGTTCAAAGCAGATATTGTGGGATTTTCTGCCTTGATATTCTGGGTTATATGGCTGTGTGGAAGGAACCTAAGGGTATCCAAGAGACTCCTGTCGCAGCTACTAGTTTAAGATAAGTAGTTGCACATTTTGCTGCTCAAGCCCCATATTCTCATGAAGCAAAAGGGGTTCTGTTGTGTGAGTCTGGAGCCTGTACATCCTTTGAAAACATTTGCTTTTTTGTTTCATCTCTCCTGTTCCTCCTTGATGGGATATACTCAGAAATCTTCTAAGCAGTCGCGGAAATCTCCCGGAGATGAAGATGACAAAGATTGCAAAGAGGAAGAAAACAAGAGCAGCTCTGATGCTGGGGAAGCCGGCAATGACACGAGAAACACCTCTTCAGACTCGCAGAAAACTAGTGAAGGGGTAAGGCTCCTGATAGTTTCACTGGACACATGACGCCCTTGTGATCTGGGCCGCTTGCAAGACCTTGGCTGAAAAGTGGAGATCCAGAGTTACAAGTCACAATTCCCCTTAGTATTGTCTATGTTGCATATCTGCCTTGGTAGATGATCTCCACCGGGAGATCTGGAACGGCCGTTCCAGGGGCTCCAATTTTGTGTTTTGCACTGAGTGTTTGTTCATAGTCCTAAGTTGCAGGGACTTTGCAGATAGGTGGCTCCTTTGGCTTCATTCATAGGGCAAGCCACCTGTCAATAATAGTTAGGATCCCTGGTCCCGCCCCTCTCTGGTTTTTTGGAGGGAAGGGGCCATTTTTCAGTTAGTCTCAGCAAAGGATGTCAATGCAGAGGATATATACAGACGTCCTCCTGTGCAAAGGCTTCGTCCCTTAAGACTTTCCGGGGGAGAACAGTCTTGAGAGCCTCTGAAGATTCCCAAAGGTTCCGGGGAAACAGCCTTACAGCCCTGAGGAATTCCGGAGGGAATAACAGCTCTAACCATCAAAGCAGCTAAGTGATTACAAGCCTTTTGATAGGTTCGCTCGGCGTTGAGACGTAGTTCAGCCCGGTAGTGAATCCACATCAATAAGGTTTAGGTTCACAGCAGCCTGGGAGGAGCTAGAAAGGGGAATTTTCCTTTAAACAAGGTTTTTGAAGATAGTGCCTGTTCCCTGTGAACAATATTGCAAGAGCCAAGAGTCTGTTAAGAAAGTTTTACAATTCCTGTTTGTTCATCAATAAAAGACTGTTATGTTTAAACTCAAGACTTATAAAGACTGTTTAATTAGGGAAATTTCTCTAAAGGCTTCTTTTCGGGGGCCCTGGCTCTCTCAAGCCATACATCCTCTCTTAAAGGCACTTCATTTCAGGTCCAGTGGCAACAGAACAGGGGGAGTGTGTCCCTGTTAGTTCTTCTGGACCTCTCAGCGGCCTGCGATACCGTTGACCATGCTATCCTTCTGGGACGCCTCGCAGAAATGGGACTTGGAGGTACTGCTTTGCAGTGGCTCTGGTCCTTCCTGAAGGGATGGTCCCAGAAGGTGTTATTGGGTGACACCTGTTCGGCTCCACGACCATTGTTTTGTGGAGTCCCTCAGGGCTCAGTACTGTCCCCAATGTTATTTAACATCTACTTGATGTTAAAGCCGCTGGGGGAGATTATCCAGAGTAAGGTGTAGCCTTACGCAGATGATGTCCAAATCTGTCACTCCTTCCCACCTGTTACTAAGGAGGCTGTTCAGAACTTGAACCGGTGCTTGGCTGCTGTGTCAGACTGGATGAGGGCTAACAAATTGAAACTGAATCCAGACAAGACAGAAGTCCTCCTGGTCAGTCGTAAGGCCGAACAGGGCATAGGGTTACAGCCTGTGTTGGTTGTGGTCACACTCCCCCTGAAGATGCAGGTTCGCAGCTTGGGAGTGATCCTGGATTCATCGCTGAGCCTGGAACCCCAGGTTTTGGCGGTGGCCAGGGGAGCTTTTGCACAGTTAAAGCTTGTGCACCAGTTGTGCCCATACCTTGGGAAGTCTTGCTTGGCCATGGTGGTCCACGCTCTTGTTACATCCCGAATAGATTATTGCAACACACTCTACGTGGGGTTGTTCTTGAAGACTGTTCGGAAACTTCAACTGGTTCAGCGAGCGGCAGCCAGATTACTCACCGGAGCATCATACAGGGAGCACACCACCCCCCTGTTGTGTCAGCTCCACTGGCTGCCAGTTCAGTTCCGAGCACAATTCAAAACGACTCTGGCCCAGTTTACCTGTCCAAACGGATTCTCCCCTATGAACCATCAAGGTTATTAAGATCTTTTGGAGGGGCCCTGCTCACGGTCCCACCACCCTCGCGTCTGGTGGGGACGAGGGACAGGGCCTTCTCGGTGGTGGCCCCTTGGCTCTGGAACTCTCTCCCGCTGGAGATTAGATCTGCCCCTTCTCTCCTGACTTTTAGAAAGCTGGTGAAATCTTGGCTTTGGAATATAGCATTTGATGAGTGAGTCAACAACTCTTGACCACACGGACGGATAGTGATGAATTGTGATTTCATTCTGACGACTTGGCCTTATGTAATTATATGATTGTATTTTAATGTAGTTTATGGATTAGTGTATTATGAGGTGTGATGTTTTTATACTATTGTTTATGAATCTTTTGTTGTGAACTGGCCTGAGTCCCTCTTCGGAGGTCGAGAAGACCGGGTTATAAAAGCTCTAAATAAATAAATAAATAAATTCAAAGTGCTGGTCTTAGCCTATAAAACCCTATATGGCTTCGGCCCAGCTTTCTTATCCGAATGTATCTCTCTCTACATTCCACCTCGTAATTGAAGATCTACTGGGGAGACCCTGCTCTCGGTCCCACCAGCGTCTGGTGGGGATAAGGGACAGGGCCTTCTCGGTGGTGACCCCCTGCTTGTGGAATTCACTTCCCAGCGAGATTAGATCGGCGTCCTCCCTCCTTACTCTTAGAAAAAAACTAAAGATAATGGTTTTGGAGCCAGGCCTTTGGCTAGTGGGCACAACAGCACTTTAGGCACTGAACTCGGACAATATGATTGTTATGAAAATTGGAAACGGCTATATGACTTATGTGATTTGTTCTATGTGATTATGCAATTTTAATTAATATCACTGTTTAATTGCTATGTAATAGGATTTTATATTGTAGGTTTATATTGTTGTTATTGATACTGTTGGCATTGAATTGTTGCCTGTGTTAGCCGCCCTGAGTCCCCCCTCGGGAGTGAGAAGGGTAGAAATGGTGTAAATAAATAAACAAATAAATTGAACTATATGCTTGAGTATAAGCCAAGGGACCTAATTTTACCATAGAAAAATTGGCAAACATATTGACTCGAGTATAAGCCGAGGGTGGGAAATACAGCTCCTCATTTAATCGATCTATTCGAGATGATCCTAACCAATACTGTTCCAGCCTTCATTTGGCACCTTCTTTACTTCATTGATGATGTAATATTGACTCAATCCCTTGAACCTTTTCTAAAACTCATTTAATTTTTCCCTCTGTTTCTTCCCAGACTTAACCAACATATTGACTGCTGCGCGTTAAGGGAAGACACAAGAAGGTTACATGTTTGGTTGTCTAATATTCTTGGATTTGATAGAAGTCAGCACATGTGTTCATCATCAGCATATCTGTTCGTATGCACATTTAGTCACATCCATACCCATCCTGTCCTCCGTAATGACTTTCAACTTCATTGTTTCCCTGTCGCCAGCCTCCAGAGGTTTCCCTTCTCTGAACGTCATTTTGTTGAATCACACACAAAAAAATGTTCTTTTCACTTGCAAGTGCGACATGCGACAACATTGCCAACGCATCATGTTTAGATATCTTTTTTTTCCTTGAAGAAAAGACAAAAAAAATCCCAGTTCTTCTTCACGTTTGTTTTGTCAAAGAACAAAGATCCAACGCTCAGAAACAAGTCACAAACAAGAATCTGTATTCTACTTACACACCATGACTTGGACAATTCTTCTTAATCCATTCTTCCTTGTGTATTTTTGTTCTGGTTCTCCACATGACGTCGTATGTTCCCTCGTGCTCTTTCCCCCTACAATTTCAAGTAAGTGTGATTAAAAAAGATGTGCGCACCCGTTTAATTTTAGGGGAATTAAAAAATATTTTCCAGATGTGAGAAGTAGAAGATATCCCCCATCTCTCTCTTAGATTTTGTACGCAACTCATAAATGTACATATTTGTATGTAACTCAACACCTGAACTCCATAATTGTAAAGCCCCCAAATCAAATTGGCACCATCTTTGTAACGGAGGCTGTCCATTCCTAAGCAGGTCAGGTTTCTGTATAGCAGTGGTTCCCAACCTGTGGTCTGTGGACCACCAGTGGTCACAAGAACGAAAATATGGTCCGTGTCTTCACCATTACTACACCGTTGCCTTGAAACGATATGGCAACGAGAACGACTCATCTCGTGAAACCCTCTTATAGTGCCGAGGCAATAGGTATGTCAGGAGGGGAGAGGTTGACTACCCACAAAAGATTACTATTACCACATCAGCTCTAGATTATTAAATATGGTTTTATGTGAGCGAGCAGGTGGCGACTACTGGATGGCATGTGTTCTGTATCAGAAACTAGAGCTGATGTGGTCTATCCAATGCAATTTTCTGAATTGGCACCCCAAATAACCAAACCAAATCTAAAGTTGACCAAAAACTGATTCGTAACTCTTTTGGTTTTTTGCTCAGTGGAGGGAAGGATATTAGAGGCAAAGATGAAATATTTTGGCCACATCATGAGAAGACAGGAAAGCTTAGAGAAGACAATTATGCTGGGGAAAATGAAAGGAAAAAGGAAGAGGGGCCAACCAAGGGCAAGATGGATGGATGGCATCCTTGAAGTGACCGGCTTGACCTTGAAAGAGCTGGGAGTGGTTACGGCCGACAGGGAGCTCTGGTGTGGTTCATGAGGTCACGAAGAGTCGGAAGCGACTGAACGAATGGACAACAACACAGTCTTTTGGTACTTATGTTGGAGAGTGGTCCCTGATCAAAGTGGTCCCTGGTCAAAAAAAAAGGTTGGGAACCATTGACTTACTTCGAAGTGGAACAAGACCCAAGGTGTACACATTAATGCAGTGTTGCCTGTTCTAACCTTTTCAGTGAACAACATTGTAAATTAAGGTCCACAAGCCATACAGTCCCTGGTCAAAGTAGTCACTGGTCCAAAAAAGGTTGGGAACCACTGCTGTATAGGGAGATGTCCACTTACATCCATTCACTCTTTATAACTGTCTGGATATTAAAATTATTCCCTCATTGGACTAACGAAAGTTGGCCATGCTTGGTTTAAAAACTGACCAATGGCACTTGAGTTGCCATCTTGCTCAAAATGCCAGTACTGTAAGAAAAAGAAACCTTTCCCTATTAGAAAGTCCCTAGCTAGCTATACTCTTTAATATTTCTCAAGACCATGATGTAATGTAAATTTCTCTGACTTAGTTCTTATATGTGGAGTTAGTGGAAGTCTTTTGTGTTTCTTTAGATGAATACAAGGAGCTTTTTTTCCCAAATGCCAATACAGAATTTGAGCTTTACGTGTTTTTGGGATGCCTTCCATTTTTAAGCTGAATTGTGATACAGAAGCCCTATGGCAGTGTTTCTCAACCTTCCCAATGCCACGACTCCTAATACCGTTCCTCATGTTGTGGTGACGCCCAACCATAACATTATTTTCATTGCTAATTCATAACTGTAATTTTGCTACTGTTATGAATCGTAATGTAAATATCTATTTATTTGCAGGATGTGTTTTCATTCACTGGACCAAATTTGACACAGATACCCAATATGCCCAGAATTGAATACTGGTGGGGTTGTGGGGGTTGATTTGTCATTTGGGAGCTCTAGTTGCTGGATTTATAGTTCACCTACAATCAAAGAGCATTCTGAACTCCACCAACGATGCAATTGAACCAAACTTGGCACACAGAACTCCCATGACCAACAGTAAATACTAGAAGGGTCTAGTGGGCATTGAGTTTGGGAGTTGTAGTTCACCTACATCCAGAGAGCACTATGGACTCAAACAATGATGGACCTGGACCAAAATTGGCACAGATACTCAATATGCCCAAATGTGAACACTGGTGGAGTTTGGGGAAAATAGGCTTTGACATTAGGGAGTTGTAGTTGCTGGGATTTATAGTTCACCTACAATCAAAGAGCATTCTGAACCCCACCAACTATAGAATTGGGGCAAACTTCCCACACAGAATCCCTATGACCAACAGATAATACTGTTTTCTGATGGTCTTTGGCAACCCCTTTGACATCCCCTGTAACTCCCCAAGGGGTCCCAGGGTGAGAAATGCAGTTTTAAATCAAACCTATGCATAAACAAACCTACTAAAGTCTATACCACATGTATGGATGAACAAATGGGAGATATAAGCAGTGTTCTGCAAATTCCGCTTATTTACATAAAGCCTATTACTGCTGGATGAAGCTTCTGTGTTTAGTGGGACAGATAGGAGATGTCTGCACACCTTTCACCTGCAATCAAAGAGCATTCTGAACTCCACCAATGATGCAATTGAACCAAACTTGGCACACAGAACTCCCATGACCAACAGAAAATACTGGAAGGGTTTGGTGGACATTGACCTTGGGTTTTGGAGTTGTAGTTCACCTAAATCCAGAGAGCACTATGGACTCAAACAATGATGGATCTGGACCAAACTTGGCACGAATACTCAATATGCCCAAATGTGAACACTGGTGGAGTTTGGGGAAAATAGACCTTGACATTTGGGAGTTGTATTTGCTGGGATTTATAGTTCACCTACAACCAAAGAGCATTCTGAACTCTACCAGTGACAATTGGGCCAAACTTCCCACACAGAACCCCATGACCAACAGAAAATACTGTTTTCTGATGGTCTTTGGTGACCCCTCTGACACCCCCTCATGACCCCCCCAGGGGTTCCAACCAGGTTGAGAAATGCTGCCCTATGAGGAGCGGCTCCAAAACATCCATTTGAGAGGAAAAAAGGAACCCGGAAAGCTTAGAACGAAAGAAAAAGATCCTGTCTGCCTTTTTCTGTTGTTTTTGTTTTTTTCCTACTGGCAAAACTAGATCTAGACTAGTAAGTAAGCATTCCAAAACCCATTTCTTCTGTGTACATTATTGTTGCTATTGTGAGAATAGAGGATTTTATTTATTTTTTAATGCCAGCTTTTATTGTGGAAAACATGGGTTTCGTCTGGTTTGATCAATCCTTGTTATGCTTGTCCTTGGACCATCTTTCGCGTACTCAAGGTTTGTAGTTGAAAAGTTTACTGTACAAAAAAAAAACAGGGGAAAAAAACTCAAAAAAACTATTGTTTTTACAGAATAAATTTATTGGAATGTGTATTGGGAGTAAGGTTCGAGGTTGTAAGCAGCTAAGTTAGCGTCGTATTTGGCTTCATACGTGTAATAATGTGAGGTATTCATGTAACTCGAGTATTAAAGCAAAGCATTCTGTTAACACTGAGTTGGTTATAATAGAACACCGATGTAGGGAACAAGCCTTGTGGTTGACGTCCCATTGTTTTGCTGATTCACAACTCTCTGGTTCCATCCAAAGCTCTTCAGAACCAAGCCAGGCACATTACAATCAATGTTGTGTCTCTCATAATGCCACCGGTATTCCAAATGGCCAAAACAGCAGATGGGTCGAATATTTGCAGGTTCAGTAGAGTCTCGCTTATCCGACATTCCGTCTTATCCGATGACCTCATTTTCCTCCAGCATTTCCCCTTCAATTAAAGGAGCGTTCCCCAACTCTCTCTCCATTTCCAATAAGTGAAAAAATACAGCTCCAGTCCAGCGTACCTGTCTGAACGCATCTCCTTCCACATCTCACCTCGGAGTTTAAGATCTTCTGGGAAGGCCTTGCTCTCAGCCCCGCCTCAGTCTCAAACATGCTTATTTTATTTATTATTTATTTACAGCTTTTATATTCTGCCCTTCTCACCCCGCAGGGGATTCAGGGCGGATTACAGTGTACACATATATGGCAAACATTCAATGCCAATTTTGACATACAACATATACAGACATACACAGAGGCTATTTAACTTTTTCTGGCCGCCAGGGGAGCTGTCGCTTTCATCGTCCATCTGCGACACTGATGAAGTACTTCCGCATTCCCCGCATGCTTTTTGCTGGAGTGCTTTGCTGGAGTCTTTTTTATGGCCTCATAAATTAGTTAATTTAGCCTCCCCACACTTTAAGGTGGTACCTAATTTTCCTACTTGACAGATGCAACTGTCTTTCGGGTTGCAAAGGTCGACAACAGGCTACACAATTGGTTGGAAACCACTCCAATTCGGGCTGGCTTCAAACTCATGACCTTTTGGTCAGAGTGATCTTAATGCAGCTTGGGGATGAGGGACAGGGCCTTCTTGGTGGTGGCCCCCCCTGTGGAACTCACTCGGGGAAGTTAGGTCATCTTCCATCCTTCCTCGTCTTTAGAAAAAAAGTTAAAAACTTGGATGTGGGATCAGACCTTTTGGGTAATTAAGCAGACAATGACAATAACAATGTTGACAATGGCTTGGAAATGGATTGTGGATAAGTTTGATGGAGCATCCAGCCACAGTTTTCAGCTAATAATGGCCACCAGAGTGTCAATTCTTAGATGATTTTAATTGCATTGTTTTAACGTTTTTAACTATTTATAATTATTGACTGTTTCTTTTTATTATGTATATATTGAGGCAATGGTATTCCCCGTAGTCACCTACGGATGTGAGAGCTGGACCTTAGGGAAGGCTGAGTGAAGGAAGAGAGATGCTTCTGAACTGTGGTGTTGGAGGAAAGTTCTGAGAGTGCCTTGGACCGCGAGAAGATCCAACCAGTCCATACTTCAGGAAATAAAGCCCGGACTGCTCATTGGAGGGAAGGATAGTAGAGGCAAGATGAAGTACTTTGGCCACATCATGAGGAGAAGGAAAGCTTAGAGAAGACAATTATGCTGGGGAAAATGGAAGGAAAAAGGAAGAGGCCCAACCAAGGGCAAGATGGATGGATGGCATCCTTAATGACAGGCCCGTAGCCAGGATTTCGTTTGGGGGGGGGGGCTAATTTTTCAGGGGGGGTTCGGGGGGGGCTGAGTTTCGGGGGGGGCTGAGTCTGAGTGAAAGAGGGTCTAGCCTAGCAAACCTTTTGTATCATTACCCCAATACCCCCATGCATATGGGATATATTGAGTATGGTGATCAGATCATGATATGAATAAACATAACAGTTTAAATAATGTACCAGTAAGGCCTTTCGGGCGACCCACCATGAGAATTTCGGGGGGGGCTGAAGCCCTCAAGCCCCCCCCCCCCCCGGCTACATGCCTGGATGGCATCCTTGAAGTGACTGGACTGACCTTGAAGGAGCTGGGGGTGGTGACGGCCGACAGGGAGCTCTGGCATGGGCTGGTCCATGAGGTTATGAAGAGTCGGGAACGACTGAGCAAATGAACAACAATATTGAGGCATCGGGTTGAGAAGGGTACAAATATTCGAAATAAATAAATAACTAAGCAAGACAAGGAGGAGGGAGGAAAGCCGGTGGAAAGAGGCAGGACTGGAAGCAGAAGCGTCCTCCTCCTTCCCTCTGATTTCCATGCTCCTCTTCCACATCTGAGCACTTCCTGCTGGACCCTCTAGTCCTGAGGCATTGCCTTGCCTTAACTCTTTGAGTCCCTGTTGTTAGTATTCTAGGTGTCTAGCACTATGTCGGATGGTAGGTAACACTAGGAGGCTCCATATTATCCAACATTTCCGTTTATCCGACGTTCTGCCAGCCCATTTATGTCGGATAAGCAAGACTCTACTCAAAATATGATAGGAGCTATTTAGCTTCTGTTGCTGCCACCCTCCTCATGTGTGATATGCTCCCTCTGTAAAGAAATACAGTCTTCACCACATGTTTGCAATTTTGACCTTTACAGATTTGATTATTCATGTATTGCAGTGGTTCTCAACCTTCTTATTGCTGCAACCCCTTAATAGAGGTCCTCATGTTGTGGTGACCCCCAACCATAACATTATTATCGTTGCTACTTCATAACTTGTAATTTTGCTACTGTTATGAATGGTAATGTACAGGATGTATCTTCATTCACTGGACTAAATTTGGCACAAATATCCGATACGCCCACATTTGAATACTGGTGGAGTTGGGGCAGGGATTGATTTTGTCATTTGGGAATTGTAGTTGCTGGGACTTATAGTTCACCTTCAATCAGAGCATTCTGAACTCCATCAACGATGGAATTGAACCAAAGTTGGCACACAGAACTCCCATGACCAACAGAATTTGGTGGGCATTGACTTTGAGTTTTGGAGTTGTAGTTCACCTACATCCAGAGAGCACTGTGGACTCAAACAATGATGGGTCTGGACCAAACATGGCACGAATACTCAATATGCTCAAATGGTGGAGCTTGGGGAAAATAGACCTTGACATTTGGGTGTTGTAGTTTCTGGGATTTATAGTTTGTCTACAACCAATGAGCATTCTGAACTCCTCCAATGATAGAACTGGGCCAAACTTTCTACAAAGAACCCTTGTGACCAACAGAAAATGCATCAAAAAAGGAAAAGGACAGGCAGAGAGATCTTCAGCCTCCTCTGCTAAAAAGGTTCCTAAGACTATCCAAAATATGTCTTTTCTGATGGTGTTTGGCGACGTCTTTGACAACCCCTCGTGACCCCCCCCCCAGGGGTCCCGACCCCCAGGTTGAGAAACACTGACCTATTGGATGAAAATGTTCTTTCGAATAATCTCTAGGTCAGAGCTTTCCAAACTTTTCTACACTTTTTAGACCTCCATCCTTTTGTGGCACGGTCATTGAGTTTTACTAGCAAGCCGAAGGTTAAGCCAACCTCTCAGAAAAGTTTCATACACTCTATCTATGCACATTATAAAAGTGAAAATATGCATGTGTGTGTGTGTGACTGGGGTGTCTACTTACACAGACAAGCTCCTGCCTCCACAGACAGCTGTAGCTCCCACTATTCAGGAGACAACAAAGGCCTACCGCCAATGACATTGCAGGATATAGTGAGCACCATGAACATGCACAAGAGCCTTGACACTGTCCTCCACAAATGCCATACTGCCCACCACCCAAGTGAAAGCTTTCATACGAGGACAATTTCATCCTAGTTTTTCCTTTTTTCCTCCACCACAGACATCCCAGTGTTTCTTACTCTCTCCATTGGTGTGGAATTTGCATGACCCCGCCCACTGCCTCTCCCTTAACCCTTTCCTATTCTTTTCTATTGATCAGCAACTGAACACAAACCGGAAGGTTTGGGGAGAATTCACCATGATTTATTGGAGTTGTAAGTACTGGGATGTATAGTTCACCTACCATCTTGGAGCACTCTCAGTTCCACCAATGGTGGACCTGGAACTAACTTGGCATTCAGAACCCTCATGACCAATCAGTCATACTGGAGGTCTTTGGAAGGATTTATAGGAGTTGTAGTTCACCTACATCCAGAGCGCATTATGAATCCAAACAATGATAGATCTGGACCAAACTTGGCATGCATACCCGATATGCCCAAATTCAAATACTGGTGGGTTTTGAGGGGAATTGGCCTGGACATTTTGGAGTTGTAGGTACTGGGATTTATAGTTCGCCAGCAATCAATGAACACTCTGAATTCCACCAAAGATGGATTTGGACCAAACTTGGGACACAGAGCCCTCATGACAAGCAAAAAAATACTGGAGGTGTTTGGGGAAAACTCACCTTGATTTTGAGGAGTTGTAGTTCACCTACATCCAGAGAGCACTATGAACCTGAACATCTGGATCAAATTTGGCACACATACCTGATATACCGATATTTGATTACTGGAGAGGTTTCGGGGGGACTGACCTTACTTTCCGGGAGTTGTAGTTGGAGGGAAGGGTTGGTGACCTTGGGCACATTGCTGGCATCCCATTGCAAGTTTTCTGCAGCTTGGAAAGCACTGTTCGAAATGAGTAACAGTCCAGGAGCCCTGGTTGATCATTCTTTCTCAATCTGAACTTTATGCAGATGTGTGGTCGAGAGAGGAACCCATTAGGAGCCCTCATAAGAGAAGAACGTGAAGCAGAATATGCTTTTTCTGAGCATGTCCAAACTGTTTTCAATCACTCGCACACACCTCTTGGTATAACTATAATTAATAATATAGCTGTATTCCAGGGCATTAATAATTTAACTGCATTGAATTGCATTAGATGAGTCTACACCAGCCATGGGCAAACTTTGGCCCTCCCTGTGTTTTGGACTACAACTCCCATAATTCCTAACATCCTACCGGCTGTTAGGAATTGGGAGTTGTAGTCCAAAAACACCTGGGGGTCAAAGTTTGCCCATTCCTGATCTATACTGCCAGAATAATGATCCTGGAAGACTATTCTACTCGGCAAACGAGGGATTGCCTAAGTATGTAAGTAAGTATTATAATGTAATAGCTTCACTCCTTTTGCAGCTGTGATGTTGTAGCATTGATGTGTTTTCAATAAGTGAAATGACTGTTTTTGTTGCTTTTTAATGAAGAGAAAGCGAAGGGGATTCAGAGCGACTTACTATATATATATATATATATATATATATATAATATATATATGGTATATATATGTATATATATAAAGAGACTCAGAGCAGCTTACAAGATATATATACATACAATATATTACATTATTAGCATAGTACAATATCAGTATTAAATATTACTATATTGTACTATACTATACCATTATATTGTAACATTATTAGTAATATTACAGGTAATATAATATTTAATTATAATATCATATTATTGTTAGTATTATATTGCATTACATTATAATATTATAAATATTATATTATATTATATAATACAAATATTATATGTATATACAATATATTACATTATATTATTAGCATAGCACAGGAGACAAGGTGGAACTGTCCCCTGGCCCCCTCTCTCTTCACTTATTGTGACACAAAACCAATTGTATCAGTGAAATGTGTATATCTACAACCTGTGGCCTTTTCAGCTCACACAGTACTATGATTCCCCATTAACTGTCATGGCTGCATCCTATAGAATCCTGGGATGTGTACTTTAGTAAGGAACTAGATCTCTCGTTGAGAGCTAAACTATAAATCCCAGGATCAAGGGTCTGGAGAACAAGCCCTATGAGGAGCGGCTTAAGGAGCTGGGCATGTTTAGCCTGAAGAAGAGAAGGCTGAGAGGAGATATGATAGCCATGTATAAATATGTGAGAGGGAGTCACAGGGAGGAGGGAGCAAGCTTGTTTTCTGTGTATTATGTATTTTCATCAAGCCTTCATCAAAACTACAAGAGAGGAGATTCCATCTGAACATGAGGAAGAACTTCCTGACTGTGAGAGCTTCAGCAGTGGAACTCTCTGCCCCGGAGTGTGGTGGAGGCTCCTTCTTTGGAAGCTTTTAAGCAGAGGCTGGATGGCCATCTGTCATGGGGTGATTTGAATGCAATATTCCTGCTTCTTGGCAGAATGGGGTTGGACTGGATGGCCCAGGAGGTCTCTTCCAACTCTTTGATTCTATGATTCCAAAGAAATAGAAAGGCACTGTTGAAACTGGACCATAGAATAGTTTTCCTAGCAATTGGCTTCCAAAGGTCACTACGGCTGCACAACAGCTGTGTACTAAAGAGATTCAAAAGGTAACCTATATACAAGCAGGCTCACCTTTGGAATGTGCTACATCACTGGTGAACAAGACAAAGATTTGAGTGTGTAACTTAGTGTCCAAACAATATTTATCATGTCAGAAGCAAATTGAGGATACAGTTATAATATATAGAAAAACCACAAACAAAGTTAAAAACTTGGCATTATACTAAATTTCCTTGGATCAGAAGCTGGCCACTTGGGGTGCCTCTGGTGTCGCTGTGAGAAGGTCCTCGTATGGCAGGGCTCAGGCTGCATTGTAATAAGTGGTCTGTGGTTTGCTCTTCTCCGCACTCACACGTCGTGGACTCCACTTTGTAGCCCCATTTCTGAAGATTGGCTTTGCATCTTTTGGTGCCAGAGCGCGGTCTGTTCAGCACCTTCCAAGTCGCCCAGTCTTCTGCGTGCCCAGGAGGGAGTCTCTCATCCGGTCTCAGTCACTGATTGAGATTCTGGGTTTTAACCTGCCACTTTTGGACTCTCACTTGCTGAGGTGTTCCTGCAAGTATCTCTGTAGATCTTAGGAAGCTAATTTCTTGATTTAAGGCATTGGCTTGCTGGCTGATATCCACGCAGAGTATGGGATTTGCAGCATATCCAAGCAATGAAAGGTATGTACTTAACAGTCAACTCCAGAGTGACAAAAGCAAGTCTTGTAAAGTGCTCTGAAAGATAGAAGTTTTTATTTTCAGCACTGGTACATCAAACTATAACTTCTGTAATAACATCTTCCAGGATGAACTGCATAGAGGTTTTTTTACAGGTAGTCCAGTTGCACCCATTTACACATCCGGCCTTCCTACTCTGCCTTCTCTTCGAGCTTCGCTTTCACGAAAAACTCTGGGTTCTGAACACACCTATAGGCCAACAGCTGAGGAAGGAGTCCATATGTTACGTTGAGTGCCAGAAACCACATTTTCCCTTCTTCGGGGACTCTGTAGATGTAAGGTGTCCTAGCATGTAAGGAAGCACCGATGTGTGAAAACTGGGCCTGTTCGGGGGGAGAAGATGTGTAAATGTGAGACAATGCTCTGAAATATCACACCTATTGCCAGCTGTCACTTCCATTCTTGCTCACATATTTCACATTTTCATATAATGTTAAACCATTTTCTATAACAGGGGTCCTCAAACTTTTTAAACATTCCCTCAAACTGTTGGAGGGCCGGATTATAATTTGAAAAAAACATGAATTCCTATGCACACTGCACACATCTTACTTGTAGTGCAAAAAAACAAAACACTTAATACAATTAAAATGAACAATTTTAACAAATATAAACTTATTAGTATTTCAATGGGAAGTATGGGCCTGCTTTTGGCTGATGAGATAGGATTGTTGTTGTTGTGTGCTTTCAAGTCATTTCAGACTTAGGTTGACCCTGAGCGAGGGCCGGGTAAATGACCTTGGAGGGCCGTATCCAGCCCTCGGGCCTTAGTTTGAGGACCCCTCTATAATATATGATGATAATAATAATAATATATAATATAATCAATATAAATAAAAATGTAATGTTCGTTTGTGGGATTAACAGAACTCAAAAACCACTGGATGAATTGACACCAAATTTGCACATAAGACACCTATTATTAAATTATTATTTTTATTATTATTAAACTTTATTTGTACCCCGCTAGCATCTCCCGAAGGACTCGATGCGGCTTACAAAGGCCAAGGCCTCAACACACAATACAACAATACAAAACCTAAGGCAAATTAAAAACAATTAAAGCAATCTAAACAACAAGCAATAAACAATACACCAACACAGGTTGCTACTCTATACCCCGGTCAGGTTTACAATCGACCAGGAGGACCTCTGTCTTGTCGGGATTGATCTTCAGCTTGTTCCTCCTCATCCAGATAGACACAGCGGCCAGGCACTCATCCAGCACCCGAGAGGCCTCCTTGGAATTGGGTGGAAATGAGTAGTAGAGTTGTGTGTCATCTGCATAGAGGTGGCACCTAACTCCAAAACTCCGGATGACCTCTCCCAGCGGTTTCATGTAGATGTTAAAAAGCATGGGAGACAGAATGAGCCTTGCGGGACCCCACAGGTCAAAGGCCAGGAGTCCGAGCAGGCGTCTCCCAGCTTCACCATCTGGGTTCGTCCCTCCAGGAAGGACCGGAGCCACGACAGAACCGTGCCCCCGAGACCCATCCCAGAGAGACGACCCAGAAGGATACCATGATCGATGGTATCGAAAGCCGCTGAGATGTCCAAGAGAACCAACAGAGTCACACTCCCCCTGTCCAGCTCTCTACGGAGGTCATCCACCAAGGCGTCAAAGGCTGTCTCGGTGCCGTGACCAGGCCTGAAACCAGACTGTGACTGATCTAGGTAATTGATGTCATCCAAAAAGCTTCCTACTTCCAACAGACCTCACTACCCCTGAGGATGCTTGCCATAGATGCAGGCGAAACGTCAGGAGAAAATGCCTCTAGAACATGGCCCTATAGCCCGAAAAAACCCACAAGAACCTAGTGATTCCAGCCATGAAAGCCTTCGACATAAACCATGTCTTTAAGTAAAATAGTCCTTGACATTTTGGGAGTTGTAGTTGCTGGGATTTATAGTTCACCTACAATCCAAGAGCATTCTGAACCCCACCAACGATGGAATTGAACCAAACTTGGCACACAGTTCTCCCATGACCAACAGAAAATACTGGAAGGGTTTGGTGGGCAGTGTCCTTTGGTTTTGGAGTTGTAGTTCACCTACATCCAGAGATCACTGTGGACTCAAAAAATGATGGATCTGGACCAAACTCTACACAAATACTCAATATGCCCAAATGTGAGTTGTCATTGCTGGGATTTATAGTTCACTTACAATCACAGAGCATTCTGAACCACACCAACAATAGAACCGGGCCACAGAACCCCTATGTGGGTCACAGCAACGTGTGGCAGGGGACGGCTAGTATAATATATAATGATATTACATACTATATAATGTGGTCTACGTTGGCCATGGTTTAGCTACAAATTGTCTCCTAAATAATAAAGCCCATCAGAGTTGGGCCCCATTTACACTGCCATATAATGCACCTTGAACTAATATACTTTATTTATATTCCACTCTTATCTCCCTGAGGGGACTCGTACCAGATTACAGAATACATATATGGCAAACATTCAGTGCCGTTGTACAGTTAACAACAAAGATAGATCATCACTAGGACATCCAGTGGCAGCACATTGTTGTATCGCGGCTCTGGGGTATTTTGGATTTGGCCGACGGTTGTTACAACATGGACATGAAGTTGTGCGTTTATTTAATTCTCTAAAGGAGAAGGTTGGAGATATTTGCCCCTCGTTGCATAGAAGGCAGGTAGGAGGGCTCATTGTCATTCCCTGGGACATCTAAGGACATGTACAATGAGAAGACTCTGGAGCCAAGGAATATTTTTAGCATATACAAACATTTAAAGATAGAAGCCACAGCAGATCACTCTGGATTGTCCCTTGGCTTTTTGTCTCCATCTGTTATCCTCTGCTTCAACTGCATTTGTATTTAACCAATTTGTGCCCAGTCTCAGACTATCTCAGGCATGGGCAAACTTGTTTACAGAATTGTTTACAGAATTAGCATACAGACATGGGCAAACTTTGGCCCACCAGTTGTTTTGGACTTCAACTCCCACAATCCCTAACAGCCTATCGGCTGTCCTCCACAAACACCATCTTGCCTCCCACCCAAGTGAAGGTTTTCTTTCATACAGGGACAATTCCATCCTAGATTTTATGTGTTTCCTCCACCACAGGCATCCCAGTGTTTCTTACTCTCTACATTGGTGTGGAATTTGCATGACCCCACTCACTGTCTTTCCCTTAACCTTTTCCTATTATTTTCTATGGCACACAACAATCAGAGGAATTGATCAGCAACTGAACATACTAGAGAGGTTTGGGGAGAATCATCCTGATTTATAGGAGTTGTAGGTACTGGGATGTATAGTTCACCTGCAATTTAAGAGCACTCTGAACTCCACCAACGATGGACCTGGAACTAACGGCACACAGAACCCCCATGGTCAACAAAAAATACTGGAGGTCTTTGGAGGGATTGATAGGAGTTGTAGTTCGCCTACATCCCTTAACCCGTTCCTATTATTTTCTATGGCACACAGCAATCAGAGGAATTGATCAGCAACTGAACATACTAGAGAGGTTTGGGGAGAATTCACCCTGATTTATAAGAGTTGTAGGTACTGGGATGTATAGTTCACCTGCAATTTAAGAGCACTCTGAACTCCACCAATGATGGACCTGGAACTAACGGCACACAGAACCCCCATGGCCAACAAAAAATACTGGAGGCCTTTGGAGGGATTTATAGGAGTTGTAGTTCGCCTACATCCATAGCGCACTATGGACACAAACAATGATGGATCTGGAGCAAAGTTGGCATGCATACCTGATATGCTCAAATTCGAATACTGGTGGGTTTTGAGGAGAATTGGCCTGGACATTTTGGAGTTGTAGGTACTGGGATTTATAGTTCACCTGCAATCAATGAGCACTCTGAACTTCACCAAAGATGGAATTGGACCAAACTTGGCACACAGAGCTCCCATGACCAGCAAAAAATGCTGGAGGTCTTTGGGGAAAATTCACCTTGATTTGGGGGAGTTGTAGTTCACATACTATGAACCCAAATAATGATGGATCTGCACCAAACTTGGCATGCATACCCGATATGCTCAAATTCGAATACTGGTGGGTTTTGAGGGGAATTGGCCTGGACATTTTGGAGTTGTAGGTACTGGGATTTATAGTTCACCTGCAATCAATGAGCAATCAAAGATGGAATTGGACCAAACTTGGCACACTGAGCCCCCATGACCAGCAAAAATTAATGGACATATTTGGGGGAAATTCGTCTTGATTTAGGGAAGTTGGGAGTTCATCTACATCTAGACAACACTATAAACCCAAACACCGATGGATCTGGACCAAACTTGGCACACATACTCGATATGTCGAAATTTGAGTGCTGAAAGGATTTGGAGGGAACTGACCTTCCTTTCTGGGAACTGTAGTTCACCCATAACCAAAGAATCTGTGACCTCCACTGATGATGGACCTGGACCACACCTGGCACACAACCCCCGTTGACTAACTCAATTTATTGGAGAGGTTTGAGGGGACCGACCCACCATAGTGGGAGTTGTAGTTTACCCTACAGCCAGAGAGCACACTGAACCACAACGATGATGCATCTAGAGCAAACTTGCCCAACATAACAAACTTTAAGTACTGATGGAGTTTTCTGGGGTTAAACTGGCATGATGTGAGTTGTCGTTCACCCACAACCTCATGCATTATAAATAAAATAAACACAGCAAACTGAGATTAACCTGAGGGTAAGTCCCATGGAACACAACAGAACTCAGCTTGAATAGATATGCATAGGATCAGGGATGAGAATAGTGTGATTTGGCTGATGTTGATAGACTACAATGCTGAACCCCACCAATGTCTAAAAAAGTTCTCTTTAAGTTCTCTAGGCCAGTGTTTCTCAACCTTCCTCATTCAGCAACCCCTTAATGCAGTTCCTCATGTTGTGGTGACCCCCAACTATAACATTATTTATATTGCTACCTCATAACTGTAATTTTGCTACTGTTATGAATTGTAATGTAAATATCTGATCTGCAAGATGTATTTTCATTCAATGGACCAAATTTGGCACAAATACCTGATATGCCCATTTGAATACTGGTGGGTTTTGGAGGAGGGAAATTTATTTTATTATTTGGGAGGTGTAGTTTCTGGGATTTATAGTTCACCTACAATCAAAGAGCATTCTGAACTCCACCAACGATGGAATTAAACTTGGCACACAGAACTCCCATGACTCCCCATGATCAATAGCAAATACTGGACGTCTTTGGAGGGATTTATAGGAGTTATAGTTCGTCAACATCCAGAGCACACAATGAACCCAAACAATGATGGATCTGGACCAAACTTGGCATGCATACCTGATATGCCCAAATTTGAATACTGGTGGATTTTGAGGGGAATTGGCCTGGGCATTTTGGAGTTGTAGGTACTGGGATTTATAGTTTACCTTCAATCAATGAGCACTCTGAACTCCACCAAAGGTGAAATTGGATCTAACATAGCATACAGGGCTCCCATGACCAATAAAAATACTGGAGGTCATTGGGGAAAATTCACCTTGATTTGGGAGAGTTATAGTTCACCTACATCCAGAGAGCACTGTGAACCCAAACACTGATAGATCTGGACCAGACTTGGCACACATCGTGATATGCTGAAATTTGATTACTGGAGGGGTTTGGGGGGAACTGACCTTCCTTTCTAGGAGTTGTAGTTCACCTGCAACCAAAAAAACTATGACCTCCACTGGTGATGGGCCTGGTCCAAACTTGGCACACAGAACCCCTATGACTAACTCAACCTACTGGTAGGGTTTAAGGGGATAGTGGGAATTGTAGTTTACCCTACAGCCAGAGAGTACACTGAACCCCACCAATGATGCATCTAGAGCAGACTTGCCCAACATAACAAACTTTAAGTACTGATGGAGTTTCTCAGGGTCAACCTGGTATGATGTCAGTTGTAGTTCACCCACAATCTTATGCATTTTGTACAATTTAAAAATGACTTTTTCAAATAATCCAGGCAACGCTGGGTATCCAAGCTAGTAATAAAGAAAGATCCTTTGGCAATACCTGGGCTAATGCTCCAGCATGTATAAGGCTTAAGTCAGGCATCCAGGAGCATCCGGGCACAAGCAGGCCGTAAAGTGAGATCATGTAGCATGGTACCGAATAGAACATATAAATCAGCATCTACACATTAGAAAAGATGTAATCATCATCATCATCATCATCATCTTTATTTATACCCAGCCACCATTTCCCCCAAAGGGGACTCGGGGCAGCCAACATGAGGCCACGCCAAAAATAATACAGCAAAGTTGGACACAAAACAACAGAAAAATTATATCACAACAAAATACATGAATAACAAAATATAATAAACTAAACAGTGCAAAATCACATAATAAAAATCAGAAGAACCCATGCTGTTTAGCATTCTATATGTATGGGATTTTGGTGGAAAGGGGATCCAGACTGTTTGCCAGCCCATTTCCCTTGCACCTCCAAAAAACTTCCTCCCAGTTTAATGTTCCATTTGGAATGATCCCAAAGAAGACTTGACTTTAAAATTTAGCTACCAACAGCACAGAAAAGTGTGAACTTACCCATGCTTCCTCTCCTAATTTTTGTGCCAAGTCACAACATTTAACTTTTTGCTCTTCTTACCTGAAGTTTGGGATAGGCAGAAGGATCCCTGATATATGGCTCGTGAAGCTGGCTGTAAAGTCGGCACAGCTCAGCTGGGCAGTCCAAGGCAATCTAAAGGGAAATCAGGTTGGATTTAGGCTGATAGTTGATGTAACGCAAGCATCTAGAAGCCACCGATTCGAGTCATCACCATGAAACCCTAATGTTGATTCAGACAACCTTGCAAACAAAGAGCAGTGAAAGAGAAGAGAAAAGGTGCCATCTGTTTACTTAACAAGTACCATAATCCAGACATGTGACTAGATATAGCTATAACTCATATCATGATAATTATGAGGGTTGAATGAAAAGTAACGCCACCACCTTCGTAACTCTTCAACAGATGGCAGTACTGGTATGCGGCAAGTACTGGCTTGTTCAGTAGACTCTCCTCTACAGTTCCATTTTGGTGGGAAGCCTTAGCATTGAACGGTTGTGTTGTTAAAGTGCGAAGTATGGAACCTGCGCAGACGGTCAGTCAATGCGACTTAAGCAACGTGCAGTCATTGAATTCTTGACAGCAGAAGGTGTCACCCCAAAGGAGATTCATCAGAGAATGCAAGTTGTTGATGGTGATTGTGTTGATGTGAGTGCGTCGTTGGGCAAGTAAGTTTAAAGATGTTAAGGTGACACCTTCTGCTGTCAAGAATTCAACGACTGCACGTTGCTTAAGTCGCATTGACCGACCGTATATTCAGGGTTCCATACATCGCACTTTAACAACACAACCAAACCATTCAATGCTAAGGAACTGTAGAAGAGAGTCTACTGAACAAGCCAGTAACTGCTGCATACCAGTACTGCCATCTGTTGAGGAGTTACGAAGGTGAAGGCATTACTTTTTATTCAACTCTTGTATATTAGGTTTTGGGTTGCTGTGAGTTTTCTGGGCTGTATGGCCATGTTCCAGAAGCATTCTCTCCTGATGTTTTGCCCACATCTATGGCACCCTCAGAGGCTGTGAGGTCTGTTGGAAACTAAGCAAGTGGAGTTTATATATCTGTGGAATGTCCAGGGAACCACCTAAACTGGTCTGTACAGGCCAATGAAGACTCCACCACAGACATCAAAAGAGCTGCAAGTCCATGAGCAAGCCATGACAGTCAAGACAAAGACTCACCCAGAGGAAAAGTGTTCTTACCATACATCAAGGGAATTACTGACCGCATAGGGAAGCTGAGGAAGAAACATGATCTACAAACTATCTATAGACCCATTCAGAAAATCCAACAAATGCTATTCAGCAAAGGACAAGAGGGATCCTCTCACCTCTGCAGGAGTCTACCTATACCATGAAGCAGTGGACAAGTCTACATAGGGATCACCAAATGCAGCACCCAAACACGAATCAAGGAACATGAAAGGCACTGCAGACTACTTCAACCAGAGAAGTCAGCCATAGCAGAGCACCTGATGAACCAACCTGGACACAGCATATTTTTTGAGAACACAGAAATGCTGGACCACTCTCACAACCACCATGTCAGACTACACAGAGAAGCCATTGAAATCCACAAGACATGTGGACAATTTCAACAGAAAGGAAGAAACCATGAAAATGAACAAAATCTTGCTATCAGTATTTAAAAAATTCTAAAATCAGGACAGTAAACAAAGAGCAACACTCAAAAAACAGGGGAATTCCAGACAGGAAACAATCCAGACAGCTAACACCTCCCAACAAAGGATCCCCCCAGGCAGGGAGCAGCCAGGCTTTGAAGCTGCAAGACTATTAAATGCTAATCAAGCTGGCCAGTTGCAACATTCACACTTGCCTCTAAAATACAAAAGTTCTTTCTCTTATTCCACAGATACGCTAAAACCCCACTTGCATGAGTTTCCAACAAACATCACAACCTCTGAGGATGCCTGCCATAGATGTGGGCAAAACATCAGGAGATAATGCTTCTGGAACATGGCCATAAAGCCTAGAAAACTCACAGCAACCCAGTGATTCCGGCCGTGAAAGCGTTCGACAATATATTAGGTTATTAAGGTACAGGATGGTGCTGTGTTATGTTTATCTCTGCAGAGTAATGTGACAGTTTCTGTAGAAGTGTATGACATTTGCCTTGTTTGTACGCTACTCTTCCCCCAAGGGCAGTGTTTCTCAACCTGGGGGTCGGAACCCCTGCAGGGGTCATGAGGAGGTGTCAGGGGGGTTGCCAAAGACCATCAGAAAACACAGTATTTTCTGTTGGTCATGGGGGTTCTGTGTGGGAAGTTTGGCCCAATTTTATTGCTGGTGGGGTTCAGAATGTTCTTTGATTGTAGGTGAACTATAAATCCCGGTAACTACAACTCCCAAGTGTCAAGGTCTATTTTCCCCAAACTCCACGCAGTGTTCACATTTGAGCATATTGAGTATTTGTGCCAAGTTTGGTCCAGATCCATCATTGTGAGAGTCCACAGTGCTCTCTGAATGTAGGTGAACCACAACTCCAAAACTCAAGGTCAACCAAACCCTTCCAGTATTTTCTGTTGGTCATGGGAGTTCTGTGTGACACGTTTGGTTCATTTCCATCGTTGGTGGAGTTCAGAGTGCTCTTTGATGGTAGGGGAACTATAAATCCCAGCAACTCTCAAATGACAACATCAATCCCCACCCCAACCCCACCAGTATTCAAACTTGGGCGTATTGGGTATATGTGCCAAATGTGGTCCAGTGAATGAAAATACATCCTGCATATCAGATATTTACATTACAATTCATAACAGGGGCAAAATGACAGTTCTGAAGTGCAACGAAAATAATTTTATGGTTGGGGGGTCACCATACCATGAGGAACTGTATTAGGAAGGTTGAGAAACCCTGCCCAAGGGATTCCTGGATTTGAAAGGGAAGCAAATGAATCAATTATCTCAGCTTGTAGGAAGAAAGGTGGGGTGCGGCCTCTGAGGCCCCATCCGCACTGACATATAATTCAGTTTCTGAATCCAGATGATGTGCTTTGAAATGGATTACATGGCAGTGTAGACTGATATAATCAAGTTCAAAGCATCTGGATTCAGAAACTGGATTATATGGCGGTGTAAATCGAGCCTGACTCTCTGGTCGCTTGCTGACCTCCAGATCTTTCATGACAGCAACTCCCATCTGTCTTTGCAAGCCATTGGGGATGGTGAGTATTACAATTCGAAAGCAACAGGAAGACCACACTTCTTCAATACACTCCCGTTGCTTTGAAACTAAACATTAAGAAAACTTACCATGCCTCTGAACAGGCAAAAACCCGTCGCCAAAACAAAGTAGACAGCCAGCAGTAGGTCTAAAGGTCTTCTCCAAAGTCTCTTTTGCTGCACTTTTTGAATTGCCTGAAATACAATTTCCAGAGTGGTAGCTGGATTAGTCCGCTACTGGAGAAAGAGTCTTATAGCATGTTACGAGGGTTGAATGAAAAGTAATGCCTCCACCTTCGTTACTTGGGTTTGGATGGGAATATTTCAATAAAACAAAAGCAGAAATAATCCTTAGAATGTGCTCTTTAACTACCACTATTCACTTTTCCACATAATCACCAGACAATTGGATACATTTCTGCCAACGATGAACACGTTTCCTGAAACCGTCACGGAAGAAGTCGACATTCTGGTGGTTAGATTTTGTTCATTTTTATGCTTTCCTCCTTTCTGTTGAAATTTTCCACTTTATAACTTCCAAAAATGTTTGCCTTTTGATAAACAGGAAATAGCTATCTGTTTGGGTCTGCTGAATAGAATGGCTGGAATCAAACCAAGTCAGGATATTTCACACTGCCAGCATAGGAAAGCTCTAACAACAACAGGACACAAAAACCATGCCAAAGGAACACCGTTACTATAAACACGTACCTCCTCCCATCAGAGACCTTTTCACATCAAATTATACTCCGTTTTAAGAAGTGCTTCATAACATTGGCAGCAGAATGCAACAAATGCCCTTTCTACACTGCCATATATTCCATATTATCAAAGCAGATAATCCACATCTCCTTTGAACTGGATTATATGACTCCACACCGCTATATAATTCAGTTAAAAGCAGATAATCTAGATTTTATATGTCAGTGAAGAAGGGGCCTAAGTGTTTTCAGCACTGTGTTGGTTGTAACATCCTGAACAGAAACATTGTGTTGCCCCAAAAAACAACATCAAGCAGCTTTGTGACACCTCCCAAAAAATACAGATTTGTTGTTGCATTGTTTTGTTATGACATTAATTTCTCTCCTGACATTTTGCCTGCATCTATGGCAAGGATCCTCAGAGGTTGTGAGGTTGTGAGGAACCTCACAACCCTGAGGATGCTTGCCATAGATGTAGGCAAAATGTCAGGAGAGAATGCTTCTGGAACATGGCCATATTGCCCGAAAAACCTACAACAACCGAGGGAATGACTTATTACTTTCTCCATCAAATACTTTTTCAGTCTTGTCACAGCTCTTACTTCATTCTCAATTTCCCTTTGCATTTTCTTTACATGTAATTAAAATAAAAAGGAATAAAGTACCTTGGCCGATGAGTCCCCCGTTGCTGAAGGTTGATTATAGATATTGAATCCAGCCCATATCGGGAGGCAAATGTGCGGGATGCTTAACAAAGACGCAGCACAAACTCTTGTCCCGTATTTTCCTGTTTGGCAACAAAACATATGAACAGCAGGTCATATGTTTTGAACTACGGAATGAAGCAACACACAGTGACAGTGACACATGTCTACTCAGAATTATGCCTGAATTTCCTGAATCCATGGGCAGCAAAAAGTAAGTCCAAGGATTTAGTCTTATAAACACTTTCTTGGAATTGAGCTCCTATTATATTCAATAGGATAGACATGCCCTGATCAAAAAGTTAAAGAATTATAGTGCTCATCCTCATAACGACCCCTCACAAAGTAAAATACCCATGCCAACATAAAGGCAGACCAGATAGCACACCAACTCTTGAAGAATGGGAAACCCAACTTTGCCACCAAAGTAGGAAAGAAACCAATAGCCAGGCAACCAGAGATTGAGAACAACAACCTCCATGAACCCTTTACATCTACTGAATTGGACATGGCTCTCAATAAATGTAAAAATGGCAAAGCAGCTGGCCTGGATGATCTACAGATGGAACAAATCAAGAACTTTGGCCCAAAAGCAAGGCGCTGGCTGCTGGAGCTGATGAACAACTGCATTGCATCCTGTCAGATCCCCAAAATCTGGAGGAAAGCAAGAGTCATCGCCATCCTGAAGCCAGGCAAAGACCGTAATGACCCAAAAAGCTACAGACCAATCTCCCTGTTGTGCCACCTCTACAAAGTTCTGGAGAGACTTATTTTGCATAGAATTACGAAAAAATAGACCCATGTCTGATCCCACAGCAAGCTGGCTTCAGGAAAGGCAAAAGCTGCACATCGCAAGTGCTGAACCTGACTCAGCACATAGAAGATGGCTTTGAAAGGCAGCAGATCACAGGAGCTGTCTTCATAGACCTGTCAGCAGCTTATGATACTGTGAACCACCGCCTCCTCTTGAGAAAAATGTATAATATCACAAAGGACGACCACCTCACCCGCCTCATAGGAAACCTGCTACAAAACAGGAGCTTTTTTGTTGAGTTCCAGGGCCAGAGAAGCAGATGGCGGAAACAGAAGAACGGCCTGCCTCAGGAGATCGTGCTTGCTCCATCCATGTTCAACATCTACACAAATGACCATCCTCATAATCAGATCTAAGGAAAGATCCTGAAACTAAGACCACTAAGCAAAGTCAATGAATTGATGTTCCCTTACCCACAACATTTCCTGGCACAAAGACCATGACACTCATCATGATGGATCCCAGCCAATAGAGGCCAATCGTCCGGTAATTCTGCCTGCGACGGAAGAATCCAAATGTCATGTACCATTAGTATATACAATAATACTAATAATAATTTATTTCTAGACTGACCGCTCTCCCCAAAGGGAACTCAGGGTGGTTTGCATACATATAAAAAGGTAAACATTCAATGCCATAATTTAAAATCACACAACATCAGAAATGCAAAATGAACAGTAGTAACCTCATTACCAGAAAATAATTAAGGTTGATATGGCATACTGCTACTTAAATAAAGCATAATTGCACTAATAGAATGTAATTGCACAGAAACATATAACCCAGGCAATCAGATTATGAATATTTAAGCATTTTGCTAAAAGCGGTGCATACTATGTAAATTCAAAGATACTGGTCAAAATTTATGGGACATTATTTCTTTAATTCAAACAGGTAAGGTAAAGGTTTTCCCCTGACATTAAGTCCAGTCGCAGCCGATTCTGGGGGTTGGTGCTCATCTCCATTTCTATTATTATTATTATTAATAATAATAATAATTAAAGGTTTTCTCCTAACATTAAGCCCAGTCGTGTCTGACTCTGGAGGTTGGTGCTCATCTCCATTTCTATTATTATTATTAATAATAATAATAATAATAATAATAATAATAATAATAGTTAAAGGTTTTCTCCTAACATTAAGCCCAGTCGCGGCTGACTCTGGAGGTTGGTGATCATCTCCATTTCTAAGCCAAAGAGCTGGCGTTGTCCATAGACACCTCCAAGGTCATGTGGCTGGGATGACTGCATGGATCGCTGTTACCTTCCCACCAGAGCGGTACTTATTGCTCTACTCACATTTGCATGCTTTCAAACTGCTAAGTTGGCAGGAGCTGGGGCTAACAGCAGGAGCTCATGTCACTCCACGGATTCAAACCTGCGATCTCTCGATCAGCAAGTTCAGCAGCTCAGCGGTTTAACCCACTGCACCTCAGGGAGCTCCTTAATTCAAACAAGGTGTTCCGTCTCCCAGGAGCCTGATTTGCCTCACTTTAAAGTTGCTTCAGGTTGCTTTCTCTTGCACTTTCTCCCAGGGCTGCTGCATCTTTGCAAGAGTCCTAAAGGTTAATAGTATCAGAGTCTGTAGACCTCTTTGCAACCATTGGCTTAGAGAGCAGCTCTTTGAGTTTAGGGACCGCCTTTTCTCCCAGGGAAAGATCTCCATTTTAGATTCTCCCCTGCCTTTTCAGTTTGAGGAAAGATTTCAGACGTGCTGATGGCTAAGCAGTTAGCTCTGGGAGAACCATTGCAAAAACTATAAACTGAGTAAGATAAGTATTAAGCTATACTGAGTTAGTTTAGATAGTATATTGTGTATTGAGCTGTGTTGAGATATTTTAGACAGATAAGCTTAGTTGAGAAAATTGAGTTATAGTTATAGAGAGAGAGTCGTGACTGCTTTGTCTCCAGGACCGACCTTAAGTTATAGATAGGGGGAAAGCCTGCCTTTTTCTAAACCACAACAGCTTAAGGTTAGGGTGTTAAGATTCCAGAATCTTATCTGCCATCTGGAGAAAGGGTTGCCTCTGTAACTATAGGAAAGAAAGAATATTTTTGTAGCTTCATCTATTGTCTGTTTGTTTGCAACTGTATGAACTGTGCCAAGTCTTCTAGGACTTAAATAAGTCCTAGAAGACTTGGCACAGTGTAAATAAATATTCTTTTTTGATGTTTAAAACCAGTACTAGTCTCAGTTGCTTAGTATCTTAAGTTTTCAAGATAGACAACTGCAGTTCGCTCAACTATAGAGAGAAGCACGTCGCAGTCGTATTTTTTATAGCGTCTGGGCGGACGGCACACAAGGGACAGATAAATACATCAAGCCTTTACCTCCAATAAAAACAAAACTAAGCAAAACCGAAGTGGAAGGCTATTTTATTTTCCTTTAGTTGGAAGACCTTTTTGGAGTTGATATTGTAAAGCATGGAAGAGAAACAAATATCCCAAAAGCTAAAAGGGTAGAAAAAGAAAACCGGCTTACTCCCATGCAATCGCTGCCACCATCAAGAGATACATCAGATAATGAACGGAGCCATCCCAAAAGCAGATCATGTGGCCATAAGCAGTGTTCAGATAAGGTTCGCCCTGTGGAAAATCAGCACATGCCAAGTAACAAATGAGATTATTTCAGAGATGAAGGACTAAATGAAAACAACCTTTGAAGGAAGGAAGGAATCTGACAACATCCATGCGATACAAAGATAAGAAGAGTTCTTTTTTTGGGTTGTTGTAGATTTTTTCGGGCTATATGGCCATGGTCTAGAGGCATTCTCTCCTGACGTTTCGCCTGCAACTATGGCAAGCATCCTCAGAGGTAGTGAGGTCTGTTGGAACAAGAAAATGGGTTTATATATCTGTGGAATGACTTCTGCAGGAGTCTACCGTGTACCATGCAGCTGTGGACAAGTCTACAGAGGGACCACCAAACGCAGCAGCATTGCCCAACACACGAATCAAGGAACATGAAAGGCACTGCAGACTCCTTCAACCAGAGAAGTCATCCATAGCAGAGCACCTGATGACCAACCTGGACACAGAATATTATTTGAGAACACAGAAATGCTGGACCACTCTCACAACCACCATGTCAGACGACACAGAGAAGCCATTGAAATCCACAAGCATGTGGACAATTTCAACAGAAAGGAGGAAACCATGAAAATGAACAAAATCTGGCTACCAGTATTAAAAAAACTCTAAAATTGCAACAGCACAACAACAGAGAGGAAACAAACAAGGACATCTAATCACCTCTCAACAAAAGTTTGCTCCAGGCACTGTCAGGGCATTATATGCTAATCAAGGTGGTCAGTTGAAACATTCACACCTAGCTCCAGCAGACAAGAGTCCTTTGTCCCACCCTGGTCATTCCACAGATATATAAACCCTTTTCCTAGTTCCAACAGACCTCACTACCTCTGAAGATGCTTGCCATAGATGCAGGCGAAACGTCAGGAGAGAATGCCTCTAGACCATGGCCATATAGCCCGAAGAAACCTACAACAACCCAGTGATTCCGGCCATGAAAGCCTTCGACAATACAGTTCTTCTTCTTCTTTTTTCTTGGCACGTTACAGCTTGCAAAAAGACTTGTTATCTGAGATCCATAATCGTCAGGTTGCATGGCCACATACCTCTTTCAAGTAATGCGTCATGAATCCATCTATTATTCCATCATGTTCAAGGCCAATGATCAAGTTCACAATGCTGGTGAAAGCAAACACGGCATAGACTGCAGCAATATGGAAAGAAAGAAAGGTATTAGGACACTTTATTGACTCCACGTTGAATTCTATATACAGTGTTCCCTCACTTATTTATTTACTTACAGTATTTATATTCTGCCCTTCTCACCCCGCAGGGGACTCAGGGTGGATTACAATGCACACATACATGGCAAACATTCAATGCCATAGACACACAACATATATAGACAGACACTCAGAGGCTATTTAATATTCCAGCTTTTGGCCACTATGGGATCTGTCACTTCACCGTCAGTTTGTGACACTGATGAAGTACTTTCCTCATTCTTTGCATACTTCCTGGGGATTTTTATCGTAAATCAGTTAAATTAGCCTCGCCACATAAGTGGTACCTAAATTTCCTTCTTGACAGATGCAACTGTCTTTCGGGCTGCAAAGATCGACAACAAAGGTCGGGAGCTCACTCTGACCCGGGCTAGCTTTGAACTCATGACCTTTTGGTCAGTAATCAGTATCACTGGTGTTACGTTCCAGGACAACCCGCGAAAAATGAAAATCCGTAAACTAGGAATGCTATATTTATTTTAATATTTATACATTATTTTAGTAACTATACACTATTTTAAGTCTTTACTAGCCGTCCCCTACCACACATTGCTGTGGCCTACATGGGGGTTCTGTATGGGAGGTTTCGCCCAATTCTATCATTGGTGGGGTTCAGAATGCTCTGTGATTGTAGGTGAACTATAAATCCCAGCAACTACAACTCCCAAATGTCAACGTTCTATGTCCCCCAAACTCCACCAGTTCACATTTTGGCCATATTGAGTATTCATGTAGAGTTTCATCCAGATCCATCATTGTTTGAGTCCACAGTGATCTCTGGATGTAAGTGAACTACAACTCCAAAAGCAAAGGACACTGCCCACCAAACCCTTCTGTTGGTCATGGGAGAACTGTGTGCCAAGTTTGGTTCAATTCCATAGTTGGTGGTTCAGAATGCTCTTTGATTGTAGGTGAACTATAAATCCCAGCAACTACAACTCCCAAATGACAAAATCATTTTTTGAGTGAAGGACATACATTGGGTTGTTAGGTGTCTTGTGTCCAAATTTGGTGTCAATTCGTCCAGTGGTTTTTGAGTTCTGTTAATCCCACAAACGAACATTACATTTTTATTTATATAGATTACTAGCTGTACCCGCCATGTTGCTGTGGCCAACCTTCCCTCTTTCTCTCCTTCTTTCCTCCTTCCTTCACTCCCTCTTTCCTTCCTTCCTTCCTTCCTTCCCTCCTTCCTTCCTTCTCTAACTTTCCTTCCTTCCCCCTTTTTCTTTTCCTCCCTCTTTCTCTCCTTTATTCCTTCTCTACCTCTTTCCCTCCCTCTTTCTCTACATCTTCCCCCTTCCTTCGCTCCCTCTTTCCTTCCTTCTTTCCCTTTTTTCTTTCCTTCTCTCCTTCCTTCCTTTTCTAACTTTCCTTCCTTTCCTCTTTTACAGTTCTGACAGACTAGACAGAAATAAAGCAAACATAACCATGAGCTACAGAAGGCATGAGCAAACTTGGACCTTCCAGGTGTTTTGGACTTCAACTCCCACAATTCCTAACAGCCTCAGGCTGTTAGGAATTGTGGGAGTTGAAGTCCAAACACCTGGAAGGCCCAAGTTTGCCCATGCCTGGTCTAGTAAAAGCTAGCAATATAATTCAGTCATAAGTTTTTCCAGTAAGCGGAGTCACAGAATACTCTCATACAATAGCTGTTTGTAAGCTGCTCCTATTTTCACTTGTCTGCATCATATACATACCATAAAATAGTGGGTCTCGTGGTGGCTTTCTTTTCACCAAAAACCGAGCTGCTACACCTACTAAGAGCAGAATCAACGATCCGAACGTTACAATCAGCCAGGAGCTGCATTAAAAACAAAACAGAGGAAAAAAGATGTGGAAAATAAGATTTCTCAGGTTCTACAAACCAGAAAATGAAGCACCAGCTTGCTTCTCAAAGTTTTGGGGTTTGTTTTGAGATTGTGCATTGTTTTTAGGTCTTTGCCTCTCAAAGTTCTGTGACAAGAGAAGGTTTGGGCCCTTTCACAATGCCCTATATCCCACAGCCCTATATCTCAGAATATCAAGGCAGAAAATCCCACAATATCTGCTTTGAACTGGGTTATCTTTGGGAAGTCTGAGCGAAGGAAGATCGATGCTTTTGAGCTGTGGTGTTGGAGGAAAGTTCTGAGAGTGCCTTGGACTGCGAGAACATCCAACCAGTCCATCCTCCAGGAAATAAAGCCCGACTGCTCACTGGAGGGAAAGATACTAGAGCAGTGGTTCTCAACCTCCCTAATGCCGTGACCCCTTAATACAATTCTCATGTTGTGGTGACCCCCAACCATAACATTATTTTGTTGCTACTTCACAACTGTAATTTTGCTGCTGTTATGAATCGTCACGTAAGTATCTGATATGCAGGATGTATTTTCATTCACTGGACCAAATTCGGCACAAATGCCTGATACGCCCAAATTTGAATTCTAGTGGGATTGAAGGGGAGATTGATGCTGTCATTTGGGAGTTGTAGTTGCTGAGATTTATAGTTCACATACAATCAAAGAGCATTCTGAACTCCACCAATGACTGAATTGAACCAGTCTTGGCACACAAGAACTCCTATGACCAACAATAAATACTGGAAGGGTTTGATAGGCATTGACCTTGAGTTTTGGGATTGTAGTTCACCTTTATCCAGAGAGCACTGTGGACTCAAACAATGATGGATCTGGACCAAACTTGGCACAAATACTCAACATGCCCAAATGTGAATACTGGAAGAGGTTAGAGAAAATAGACCTTGACATTTGGGAGTTGTAGTTGCTGGGATTTATAGTTCACCTACAATCAAAGAGCATTCTGAACTCCAACAATGAGAGAATTGGGCTAAACTTCCTACACAGAACCCATGACCATAGAAAATACTGTGTTTTCTGATGGTCTTTTGCGACCCCTCTGAACCCCCTCGTGCCCCCCAGGGGTCCCGACCCCCAGGTGAGAAACACTGTTAGAACAAAGTTGAAGTACTTTGGCCACATCAGAGGAGACAGCAAAGCCTGGAGAAGACAATATGCTGGGGAAAGTGGAAGGCAAAAGGAAGAGGGGCCGACCAAGGGCAAGATGGATGGATGGCATCCTTGAAGTGACTGGACTGACCTTGAAGGAGCTGGGGGTGGTGACGGCCGACAGGGAGCTCTGGCGTGGGCTGGTCCATGAGGTCACGAAGAGTCGGAGGCGACTGAACGAATGAACAACAACAACAACTTTGTCCACACTCAGATAATGTGGGATTTCCTGCCTTGATATTCTAGGGGTACAGGGCTGTGTGGAAGGGCCCCCAGTTCAAAGCAGATATTGTGGAATTTTCTGCCTCAATATTCTGGGATATAGATCTGTGTGAAAGAGCCCTAAGTTATCAATCCAGGCTGCCAAATATTCCAGTTCAAAGCAAATAATGTGGGATTTTATTCAGTTGTGTTTTATCATTTTATCATTTTGTGTCATGCACTGTGTTTGATTTTCCATTATGTTATTTTGCATTATTTATTTAACTTGAATGGTTTATTTATGTTATTGTGATATTATTTTTGTTATTTATATTTTATTTTGCTGTAATGTATCATAGAATCATAGAATCAAAGAGTTGGAAGAGACCTCATGGGCCATCCAGTCCAACCCCATTCTGCCAAGAAGCAGGAATATTGCATTCAAATCACCCCTGACAGATGGCCATCCAGCCTCTGTTTAAAAGCTTCCAAAGAAGGAGCCTCCACCACACTCCGGGGCAGAGAGTTCCACTGCTGAACGGCTCTCACAGTCAGGAAGTTCTTCCTCATGTTCAGATGGAATCTCCTCTCTTGTAGTTTGAAGCCATTGTTCCGCGTCCTAGTCTCCAGGGAAGCAGAAAACAAGCTTGCTCCCTCCTCCCTGTGGCTTCCTCTCACATATTTATATATGGCTATCATATCCCCTCTCAGCCTTCTCTTCTTCAGGCTAAACATGCCCAGCTCCTTAAGCCGCTCCTCATAGGGCTTGTTCTCCAGACCCTTGATCAAGCCATATGAGGAGCGGCTTAGGGAACTGGGCATGTTTAGCCTGAAGAAGAGAAGGCTGAGAGGGGATATGATATTTTGCATTATTTATTTAACTTGAATGGCTTATTTATTTTATTGTGATGTTATTTTTGTTATTTATATTTTATTTTGCTGTAATGTATCGCTGGGCTTGGCCTCGTGTAAGCCACTCCGAACCCCCTTTGGGGAGATGGTGGCGGGGTATAAATAAAGATTATTATTATTGGGTTGTTGTAGGTTTTTCCGGGCTATATGGCCATGTTCTGGAGGCAATTTTTCTCCTGACGTTTCGCCTGCATCTGTGGCAAGCATCCTCAGAGGTAATGAGGTCTGTTGGAAGTAGGAAAAATGGGTTTATATATCTGTGGAATGACCAGGGTAATGTTTCAGCTGATCACCTTGATTTGCATTCAATGGCCTGGAAGCGCCACAGATATATAAACCCATTTTTCCTACTTCCAACAGACCTCATTAACTCTGAGGATACTTGCCACAGATGCAGGCGAAACGTCAGGAGAAAAATTGCCTCCAGAACATGGCCATATAGCCCGGAAAAACCTACAACAACCCAGTGATCCCGGCCATGAAAGCCTTCGACAATATTATTATTATTATTATTATTATTATTATTATTATTATTATTATGTGGAAGGGACCTAAGAGGCGGCACAATAGCCACGTTTAAGTATTGGAAAGGATGTCACCTTGAAGAGGGAGCAAGCTTGCTTCCTGCTGCTCCAGATACTAGCACATGAAGTAATGGATTCAAACTGCAGGGGGAAAAAGATAAACATCAGGGAAAACTTCCTGGTGCAAGGAGATGTTCAGCAGTGGCATACACTGTGCATCTTTGCACGGCAGAAGGGTTTTGGACTGGGTGGCTCCATCAGCGCTGCCTCTGAAAAATCCTATAACTCTCTTGGGAAGACAAGCGGACAAATGTCATCGTGCTGGAAGAAGCAAAGACCACCAGCACTGACGTGATGGTCCTCCGCCATCAACTCTGCTGGACCGGCCACATTGTTCGGATGCCCGACCACCATCTCCCAAAGCAGTTGCTCTTCTCCGAACTTAAGAATGGAAAACGGAGTGTTGGTGGGCAGGAAAAGAGATTTAAAGATGGGCTCAAAGCCAGCCTTAAAAACTCTGGCATAGACACTGAGAACTGGGAAGCCCTGGCCCTTGAGTGCTCCAGCTGGAGGTCAGCTGTGACCAGCAGTGCTGCAGAATTTGAAGAGGCACGAATGGAGGGAGAAAGAGAGAAATGTGCCAAGAGGAAGGCGCGTCAAGCCAACCCAAACCAGGAACGCCTTCCACCTGGAAACTGATGCCCTGACTGCGGGAGAACATGCAGGTCAAGAATAGGGCTCCACAGTCGCCTACGGACCCACCGCCAGGACACTGATCTTGGAAGACAATCCAACTCGGACAATGAGGGATCGCTTGAGTAAGTAAGTAAGTAAGTAAGTAAGTAAGTAAGTAAGTACACTGTGCATCTTTGCATGGCAGAATGGGTTTGAACTGGGTGGCTCCAGCTGTCTATACCAATTTGACGATTCTATCTGGCATGTCATTCTTTACAAGCTCTTCTCCCTCTATATACCAAGCAATACCACTATCCAAATCCAGAATAAGGAAGAAAGGGAAATGGAAACTGATGCAATATCCTTCTTCTTTCCTGCTCCACTTGCTGCTCATATGACTGGAGAGAGTGTGCGAGCAGACAGCAGCAACAAAGAGGAAGAGGAACAGGTTTAAGGTAAAGGTTTTCCCTGATGTTAAATCCAGTCATGTCTGACTCTGGGGGTTGGTGCTCATCTCCATTTCTAAGCCAAAGAGCCAGCGTTGTCCATAGAAACCTCCAAGGTCATGTGGCCGGCATGACTGCATGGATTGAAGACAAACAACTGGAAAAGCTGACACGATATGAGGATTTAAAGATCGAATTGCAAACACAAGCCAGTCAAGGTGGTCCCGGTGGTGATGGGCACACTGGGTGCAGTGCCTAAAGACCTTGGCTGCACTTAAACACAATCGGAGCTGACAGAATTACCATCTGCCAGCTGCAAAAGGCCACCTTACTGGGATCTGCACGCATTATTTGCCGATACATCACACTTCCTAGACACTTGGGAAGTGTCTGACGTTTGATCCAATATAACAGCCAGCAGAGTGTCTACTGTGGACTCATCTTGTGTTTCTAATAATAATAATAATAATAATAATAATAATAATAATAATAATAGGTTTTCCCTGACATTAAGTCCAGTCGTGTCCGACTCTGGAGGTTAGTGCTCATCTCCATTTTTAAGCCGAAGAGCCAGCATTGTCCATAGACACCTCCAAGGTCATGTGGCTGGCATGACTGCATGGATTGAAGACAAACAACTGGAAAAGCTGACACGATATGAGGATTTAAAGATTGAACTGCAAAAACTCTGGCACAAGCCAGTCAAGGTGGTCCCAGTGGTGATTGGCACACTGGGTGCAGTGCCTAAAGACCTTGGCCTGCACTTAAACACAATCGGCGCTGACAAGATTACCATCTGCCAGTTACTGGGATCTGTATGCATTATTCGCCGATACATCACCCATTCTTAGACACTTGGGAAGGGTCCGACGTGTGATCCAATACAACAGCCAGAAGAGTGTCTACTGTGGACTCATCTTGTTGTGTTTATAATAATAATAATAATAATAATAATAATAATAATAATAATAATACGAAATCCAGCATATCGATCTCATTTGTTGTGACATACTGTGGTTTTGTGTCAGTATAATAATA